CAGATGACTCTGGTGAAAGAGTAAAATTATCATGAAGTGGTGAATTAAAACCCAAATGGAGATGTTAAAAGCAAAAGTGCCTCCTTCTGTCACATTATGCAGGTATATGAAATAATGTCTTTATTGAAAAAAACATGCCCACCTAATCCATGGTTCTTCAGTCTTTGTACATCCGAGGGAGAAGGGAGAATGTCAATATTAGGGCCAGAAAGCAAGAAAATATTTGTCTTCCACACAGGGCTTGGCCGCCTCCCAGCTGACCCTGCAATGAACACAACAGAATCACACCACAGATGCACCATAGATGCTAATTGATATTCTATAGCATTGAGTGTGCTAACTGGGGTTGCCACCTTTCATAAGTTTCAATAAAGAATGCCCACCACAGCTTCTCATGGCCATTGCCAACATGCCCAAAGTTAACCACATTACTTTTTATGTTTGTTTTTTTGTTAATGACGTGATCAAGAAAGCAATTACTCATACATACAAATATTTTTTTTGGCAATGAAGACCTTATTGAGAGAAACTGCTGCATATAAGGTGATTTTAAGTAAGGCTACATTACATACTTCACTATTTTGAAAAAGCTGCTTATTGAAGTTTCACAAATCAAATCTAAAAAAATCATGTAGATTATAAAAATTGTGAAATTAAAAATTCAAAGCCAACATTTTCATTTCTCATAATGAACAAAGACTACGATGGACTGGCTACCTGTCCAGGGTGTACCCTGCCTCTCGCCCGTTGCTGGTGCGAGACGGGCACAAATCAAACACAACAAATCGCTTCTCATACCGCTTCATATGGGACGCAAAATTTACTTGCCATACTGGACAATCCATATTTTATAAGGCGGGAGACAACTCCAGTGCCAACTAAATAGGCTACTTATATTTTCCCAATTAATATTTCTTTATTCCACTAGCATGAAGCTAACGTAGCCTATCTGGAAAGCTGCAGTTATATGAACCGACATCTGAACATCCACTTACCTTGACTTCGCTGCACTTGACGTCGAAAAAGTCTTCTTGTTGCAGAGAATAAAGTATCGGTATTTCTTAATTCATGTCGAGCACGAGCTGCAGCGCTGAATATTGTGTTAAAAACACGAGTATTTGAGCTGGACTGACCTGACATTGCTGACAAATGAATAGTACAACCAAGTAGCCTAAGGCTAGAATGTCTTACACACTGTCCGCCAAAATGCTACGTAAATTTATGACGTTTTGACTAGACAGAATACTAATTCAAGATATCAATAATGTCATTCTGACTAGTCAGAATGTCAATTTAAGATATCTTAAATGGAAACGGTGAATAATTTAAGATATCTTTAATTCATTTAGAGATATCTTAAAAGGAATTTTGACTAGTCAAAATTACAATTCAAGATATCTTTAATTTAAATTTGTCTAGTCATTATTTGAATTTAAGATATCTATAATTCAGTTTTCACTAGTCAAAATTAAATTTCTCCTATCCAAAAATACATTTAAGATATCTCGAATTATGGAGTAATTCGAGATATCTTTAATTAGAATTATGACCAGTCAAAACTAAAATTGAGATATCTTGAATTTACTTTATGACTAGTCATAATTCAATTGTAGATATCTGAAATGTGTATTTCAGATAGTCAGTAATTCATTTAAGATATCTTGAATTGAAGTCTCCATACAAGTCAATGGTAAATCTGACGTAATTTCGACTAGTCAGAATGTAATTAGAGATATCTCAAATAGTTATTTTGTCTAGTCAAAATATAATTGGAGATATCTTAAATCGCTAAAACGTCTAGTCATAAAACAATTTGAGATATCTGGAATGTAAGGGCGGTAAAACCGAATTTATGTTAAAATGGCTTGCCATAGTACGATTCCCTAAGCGTCGGAAACTGACGACTTAGGAACGAATAAGATGACGTGTCTATTCTATTTTTTTTTAAAAAAAAACCTTTATTTACAATTTATGTGCTAGTTTGAACAGGATATTAAGAATATTTACTACAAATACATGTCAGACGTATCGGTCACAATACTTTAATTCGGTATTTAAAAATAACTCAGTAAAATATAAAACCGGAGGGGTTTTATTGTGCT